TCACTCTTGCACCTGTCTGCAAGCTTTAGGCGTCGACCGACCTCTCCTGCTGTTTCTTATGCAGCTTCTCGGCCAATCGGTGCAGTCTGCTTGTAGCCAATCCTGTGGATCCTCCCTCTTCCTGTCTCTATTTAAACCCAAGGCAGCGAATGGCATGCTGCCTGAGCAACGCTTTCCTAAGCTAGTTGCCGAGGGCCCCAGTTGTGATTTACCCTGAATGCCTGTGTACGGAACCTTTGCTTTTGTCCTTGGAAATCCCTGTCTACTGGCTGCCCTGTGCTTCACTTTGTCCCTGGAAGTCTTTAGCCTGTCCCTAACTGTTGATTTGTACCCTGTACTTGTTAGGTGAGTTGGGTGGACCTAGGGATTGTGACCTGGGGTCAGCACGCAGCCAAGCCCATCTCCACCATCAGGAGCTCTGGTGAATACCGGCTGGCTCTTAGATTCCACATCCTGGGGGACCCCATGCCACCTAATCAGTATTGCAGCACCCTGCCTTGTATTTGAACTTCCAGCTTAAGCTGACTTCCACTGCCTCATCCACATACCTGCTCTGTTCCCTGCTTGTACTCCAGCTCTGGGAGTCGTCAGCCTGCACTGCTTGGACCCTTTTCTCTAGTGTCCCTGCCAGTGTAGTGGAAAGGGTTCACATACCTGACTCCAGTTTATACCTGTGAGTCCCAATCCATGACACATATAATGTGTTAAAAAAATGGCTATGGCAGCAAAAGGGTTAATATTAGGTAAACTGGGTGAACTTTCTCTTTTCAAGGTGAACTGCAGGCACAAAAACACTTCCCAATGTATTGTGGACCAGGAGGGTGCTTGGGGTACAGGTAGCGATGTTCCTCACACGTCCTCAGAAATTGACCAGCAAGCTAGCATATATATTGAAGTAGGGATGTTCAGATACCAAGTACCGTACTTGGTACAAGTACAGATACTTTTCCAGCGCTAAGGCTAGACTAGACCAAAACTCAAAAGTTAGGAGGCAGCTGTCATTTTTAAGGAGCATCAGCTACAGGCTCCTGGGATTTGTGCATCCCTGTTTTAATATATGATTTGTTATATATACAGTATATACACTATATTGCCAAAAACTATTGGGACACCCCTCCAAATTATTGGATTCAGGTGTTCCGTGAAATTTCCTTGCTACTAAATATTCCACAGTCACCTGTTAGTGGGATTATAACAAAGTGGAAGCAACTGGGAACAACAGCAACTCCAGCCATGAAGTGGTAGGCCACGTAAAATGACAGTGGGGTCAGCATGTACTGAAGTGTAGACATTTTATCATATACTCTATTTATGCTTCTTTAAGCCAATATTTAATTGGCCAATATTTAATTGGTTTATAATTCTACAAAGGAGTGATATAGTGAACTTACCGCAAAGTTATTATTAGTCTTTCCGGTGGTGAAATGCTGTCTCGCATAAAGGTGTCCTGACGTTCCAACTGTACCAACAGCAATCCGAGTAACTCATCAAAACTATATATATATATATATATATATAGTTGTGCTAAAAAGGTTGCATACCCGTAGAGAATTGGTAATATATGTACCATTTTTAAAGAAAACATGAATGAGCAGGCAAAACACATTTCTTTTATTTCCTATGGGATTCATATTCAACGGTAGGTCATAACAGAATGGCACAATCATAAAACAAAACATGGCAACAAATAAAAAAATTAAATGACTCCTGTGCAAAAGTCTGCATCCCCTTAGTTCCTAATACTGTCTATTGCCTCTTTAGCATCAATGACAGCGTGCAGTCTTTAGTAATAGTGGTCTATGAGGCTCCAAATTCTTGCAGGTGGTATAGCTGCCCATTTGTCTTGGCAAAATGCCTCTAGGTCATGCAAAGTCTTTGGTCGTCTTGCATAAACCGCACGTTTGAGATCTCCCCAGAGTGGCTCAATGATATTACGGTCAGGAGACTGTGATGGCCACTCCAGAACCTTCACCTTTTGTCTGCTGTAACCACTGGAGGGTCAACTGGGCCTTGTGCTTAGGGTCATTGTTGTGCTGGAAAGTCCAAGAATGTCCCATACGCAGCTTTTGTGCAGAAGAATGCAAATTGTCTGCCAGTATTTTGTGATAACATGCTGCATTCATGTTATCAGAAATGCAGCATGTTACCAAACATCAGTGAGTCACCACCATGCTTCACGGTGTGGATGGTATTCTTGTTATTATTATTTTGGTCTCGTCACTCCAAACTATAGTGTACCAGAAGCTGTGAGACGTGTCAAGGTGTTGTGGGGCATATTGTAATCTGGCTTTTTGTGGCATTGGCGCAGTAAAGTCTTCTTTTTGCCAACTCAACCATGCAACTAATTTTTGTTCAAGTATCATCGTATTGTGCTCCTTGAAACAACCACACGGTCTTTTTCCAGAGCAGCCTGTATTTCTCCTGCGGTTACCTGTGGGGTTTTTCTTTGTATCCCGAACAATTCTTCTGGCACTTGTGGCTGCAATCTTTCTTGGTCTACCTGACCTTGGCTTGGTTTCAAGAGATCCCCAAATTTCCCACTTCTTATTAAGTGATTGAACAGTACTGACTGGCATTTTGAAGGCTTTGGATATCTTTTTATATCCTTTTCCATCTTTACAAAGTTCCATTACCTTGTTACGCAGGTCTTTGACAGTTCTTTTCTGACCCCATGGCTCAGTACTGACCATAGAGAATCTGCAGATAATCTATAGGTGTTTGGCCAGCTCCTTTGGGATGAATTAGAGTGGAGACTGCGAGCCCGGCCTCCTCGTCCAACTTCCCCTGCAAAGTGCAAATTCCCTTGCAAAGAGAACAGCCTATTTGCCTTTAGTAAATCAATCCATTAGTGTCTAACCTGACCATCTCTGCCTCACTTCATCTCTTCTATTCCAGAAGATTTTCTGACAATATGAATATTTCTCCTGATGGTTGGTTATTTGTTTCTGAGAGAAACCTTTTAGATTCTAAAATGTTTAGCTCATCAAGCTGTTAGGAAGCATGGAAAGGCATGCGCCCAATCAGCCATAATTCATCACCTATGGAGCTCAGACTATTCACTCACCATTATCAAATTCTGAGTCAGGGAGGGGGGATCATTTATGGCAGTTGAAGGAAAAAAAACTCACATTTAGCTGGAATCGGCACAATATATAGTCTTCTTATTCTTATATGTTCAAGACTTAGAAAGCTATTTCGAATTTGTTGCGAGTCAGATAATTACAAAACATTTCATATGATTTATTTTTTTGGTTCAATTTGATTTTATTAGAGATTTTCAGTACAAATCAAGGAAAATAATCATACATATAATGAAACAACCATCAAAATAATAACAAATAAAGATGGAAGAGAAGGGGAGGGTTCCCCCCCGGCGGGATACATTATGGAACAGAAGTATTATATCCCGTATCTGACCCAGACACGAGGCAAGAATAACGGTCATATCATTATTATTGGATGATGTCCAAGATGGTAAGATAAACGGCATTAGAAACTTGTATCAAGCCTGCTATCAAGTTATCAGTCATATGTTCCACCACTCAAGAGCTCAAGGGATATAGATGAAGGACAACTGCACATGATATGGCAGTTGAAGGAAAAAAAACTCACATTTAGCTGGAATCGGCACAATATATAGTCTTCTTATTCTTATATGTTCAAGACTTAGAAAGCTATTTCGAATTTGTTGCGAGTCAGATAATTACAAAACATTTCATATGATTTATTTTTTTGGTTCAATTTGATTTTATTAGAGATTTTCAGTACAAATCAAGGAAAATAATCATACATATAATGAAACAACCATCAAAATAATAACAAATAAAGATGGAAGAGAAGGGGAGGGTTCCCCCCCGGCGGGATACATTATGGAACAGAAGTATTATATCCCGTATCTGACCCAGACACGAGGCAAGAATAACGGTCATATCATTATTATTGGATGATGTCCAAGATGGTAAGATAAACGGCATTAGAAACTTGTATCAAGCCTGCTATCAAGTTATCAGTCATATGTTCCACCACTCAAGAGCTCAAGGGATATAGATGAAGGACAACTGCACATGATTTTTTTTTTCATAATTGCTACTTCCCACCAGCAAACGTCAAGCTCTTAGCAAGAGTACCAGCTTCCAGGAACTAATTTACTTGTAAAAAGCCTCCACTGTCCATCCATGTCAAACAGACCCGAACAGCAGGAAAAATCAGATTACACAGAGCTGACACACCTCTTCCCCCATCACCTAACTTAGATGGGGCTGTCTGGCTAAGGCTGGCCATACACCTATAGATTATCTGCAGATTTTCTATGGTCAGATGGAAAAAGTGCAACAGATTCCTCCATCTACGCTGAACTGTGTGGATGGAGGAATCTCCCGCTGGGCCAAGCTTCAGTATCTTGCTAGTCGGTCCCACTGGCTCTGAAAATACCTGAACAATCTGATTGGATGTAGGCGTTGTTCAGGCGTTTTGACAGCCAGCGGGGCCACTAGCAAGATACTGAAGCTTGGTCCAGTAGGAGATTCCTCCATCCACACAGTTTAGTGTAGATGGAGGAATCTGTTGCACTTTTTCCATCTGACAACAGAAAATCTGCAGATAATCTATAGGTGTATGGCCAGCTTTAGACAGACATACACGGGCTGACAACAAGAATTCAAGCAGTGCTAGGCTTTCTTATTAGAAAGTCCAGCATTCTTTTCAGAGTGAGTGCCATGGATATACTTTGTGTTTTATCTTTACTTGTAACATAAATATTTTATAAACTATGGAAAAATATAAAATATTGGTTGTAAATCTGTAAGAGGAAAGTAGAAACAGACTAAATTGTTATACTTTCCCTTTAGCTAATGCTGTCATTAAAGTTATAAGAAAAGTGTAAAATCCCTATAAGAATCTTCAGCACGTATGCGCTTAAATAATGCTTGTAGGCACTCTCTAGCAGAAGTTGAGCATTGCTGTTATCTGTAATAGTGATGATATGCTTTTTTTCTTTTTAGTTCCGGATAATCTTGTCCTGAGGGCCCTCATTGATCATCTCAGCAGGCTGGAGTGCAGCACACGTGGCTGGGTGCTATACGGATTCCCAAGAGACCTGGAGCAGGCCGGTCTGCTGAATGACGCAGGATTTATTCCCAACAGGTAAGAATTTTTCCTTTCGACCAGCTTCATTTTTTAACATGATTTCCAGCTAAAGTAAAACTTTGAATAAAACGGGTCTGAATAAAAGGACGACAGTGCCACAAGTAAGTTCAAGTCCAATAGAAGTTTATTAATCTTGATAAAAAGTCAAAAGTTAAAGAAAATACGCTTTTGGGGCTCAAAACACCCCCTTCATCTGGGATGGAAGCTGGCTGAAATGGAAGCTTATTCTGGACACACAGGTGGAAAGTAATGCAAGTTACTTACAGCAGTGGTGTGCTCACCTGCTGACAGCCCTATAAGGCCTCATTCACACAAGAAAAGGCCCGCACGTACAGCTCCGTGCTGCGTGCACGGCCGTATCGGGCAGCTCCCGGGAAGGACAGGTGCTGCGTGTGATTAGTAAGCAGCCCCTGTCCTTCTCTATGGGACTACACGGCCGTACCCCGAAATAAGCTCACCCGCCCTGCACATCCGAGCGGGTGTGGCTGTCCGTACTTGTACGCTGACAGGATGCATCCTGTCTGCGTCCGAGCCGGGACACCTGCACCCGTACCCACACTTGGGGGGAGCTTATGGCGGCGTATGGCCGCGTACTCACATAGAGAAGGACGGGGGCTGCGTACTAATCACACGCAACACCTGTCCTTCCCGTGAGCTGCCTGATACGGCCGTGCGCGCAGCACGGAGCTGTATGTGCCGGCCTATTGTGTGAATGAGGCCTAAAAAGGTAAAGGGATAGCTACATTTTCATTGCTGTATATGTCACTTCTGGAGAGAAGATATCTCCTCACTGCAGTTTACTGGGACAGGAAGCTGAGAAAAATCTCTAATGGGAATAAAGTCAGCAATAAAATAAAAACCTGACAAAAGTTCTAACCCTTCTCTACTGCAAAAAAAAATTCCCATTGGAGAGATTTTATCTTAATTCCTGCTTCAGTGAAATAACAATAAATGAGGGGAAAGCTCCTCAACAGGAAAACTGGCAACAATTAAATACATAGAAAAGGATGTTTGGAACCTAGGCACTCAGGCTCAGTCCTAAATATTAATTACAGCAGCTATACGCCAAGTAAAAATATCGTCACCCTAAAAGCTATAAGGCAGTAATGTATGGAATCTAAATCACTTGCCTTTTTGATATTTACATAAAGACATATTGATAAAACTGCAGTGTCCTCCATTAATGCTGGCTTTTTATCCCTAGAAGGATACAAGGAAAGAGCAAACTCCCCAGATTACATCATGTTTCATTTTACACCCATAGGGAATAACGTGAAACATGGTCCCAGTCCGAAGCTGGGGCAGCTGCTTGGAGGTCATTTCCTACTGATGTAGGTATGCCCCCCAGAACTACATATCCCAAGCACTAGGAATGCACCAATACCAAGTAGCGTACTCGGTACAAGTACAGATACTTTTCCAACTCCGAGACTAGACTAGAGAAAAATTCAAAAACTAGGAGGCAGCTGCTATTTGTAAGGAGCACACGGAGCTCCTGGGATTTGTACATCTCGGTTTTATTGTATGATTTTGTTTTTATAAATATAAATGAAGGGATGCACCGATACCAGTTTTCCAAGTACAAGTACTGATACATTTTTGTTTATTGTCATGTGACAGTTTTTTGTAAAACAATACAGACTAATGATTTCAGGACAGTGCTGGAGCTCCAGAGCCAGGTCCCAGCTGCAACCTCTGCAACCCTGGTAGTTCTCATGAAAATGCCAAGTATCGGCACTGGTATCTGAAGTGGTATCGGTGCATTCCCACCAAGCACCCATTCCTTACATACAGTGTGTGGACAGGCTAGTGGGAGTCATGGCAGAAGTGTTGTGTCACTGGGAAAGATATCAATGTATGTATGTAGAAAGGGACAGAGAAGCAGAGTTCTGTAGTCAAGCATGCAGGCTGACATCGTGGATTGGAATTTTAGTGCAGCAGAGACAGTGTGTTATCAACCCAAATATAAAGTTGGGAGCTCATATTTCTGGGAGATCAACAAGCATTTTATTGTGTTAGCAGAGGTTTTAAAAGGAGAACTTTCACTCAACCTCATCGTTCTAGCCGTCGCGTCACAATGAAACTGTCACACGTCGGCTCAATAGATCGGGAAGTGAGCGAACACATACCGTCGCTCGCTCACTTCTCGATCCTGTCCCTGCAGAGAGCCGTGACTGTCACTCACGGCTCCTTGCAGGGATCTCCCCCCCTCCCCTCTCTGATCCTCCAGCGCTGACTGGAGGAACAAACGGGGGAGGGGCGGTACAGCTGGCTCTGCCTCTAGATAGGCAGAGCCAGCTGTCAATCACGCAGCTGGGTGGATCTCAACAGTAATGTCGGGATCTGTTCCGGCTGCGCCGCTCTGTAGCTTGCGGTATACTGAGCTTAGGGTGACGGGAGGACGCTAGTTTATGTCCTCTCGTGACCCTGAGGAGAACTATGGGGAAAAACACTTACCCCATAGTTCTCCTTTAAAGGATAAAACCTGGGCAATGTGCATGTATTGCAGGGTTGTTTTTCCTTCTATTTTGCCAAACCTTTAATGCCAGTTTTATATTATCGGTCTTCTGCATGGTATTATTATTTTTCAAGCACAAAAGTTTTGGTTATTGTGAGTATATAGTTTATTCATCTTTTATTTTTATATCATAAAAGGAAGCTCTTCATCTTCTACACATTAAAACAATAAAAAAAACTTGACAGGTTTAAACCTTTTCACTACTCTATTAAAAAACTAATGTAACATTTTGGGTTGGAGTTCTGTTTTCAAAGAAACATTTCAAGGCGTCTGTTGTTTTACAAAAGGGTGCATTCCCTAGTTAGGTGGGTGACATATTGCCAAGCATCATGATGTACGTCTTTGAGGACAAAGTCTGTTTTCCTACTGCCCAAACGGTATTGCTTTATTTCATTTTCTACATGAGTGGTAGTTATTTGATCAGGGACCTCAGCAGCCTCTGACATCACCAAAATGTCATGCATGATATTCAGTGTATGTAATACCACAAAAAATGTTAGGGAGAATAGTAGATAATAAGACACTTCAGCCATGCTACAGGAGATGATCATGGGCTGCGGCCTTGCTACAGGAGATGATCAGAGGCTGCGGCCTTGCAACAGGAGATGATCAGAGGCTGCAGCCTTGCTACAGGAGATGATCAGAGGCTGCTGCCTTGCTACAGGAGATGATCATGGGCTGCGGCCTTGCTACAGGAGATGATCAGAGGCGGCGGCCTTGCTACAGGAGATGATCAGAGGCTGCAGCCTTGCTACAGGAGATGATCAGAGGCGGCGGCCTTGCAACAGGAGATGATCAGAGGCGGCAGCCTTGCTACAGGAGATGATCAGAGGCTGCGGCCTTGCTACAGGAGATGATCAGAGGCTGCAGCCTTGCTACAGGAAATGGTCAGAGAATAAAGACACACTACAAGAAATGGTCAGAGTGAGACCATGCTACAGGAGATGGTCAGAGGCTGCGGCCATGCTACAGGAGATGGTCAGAGGCTGCAGCCTTGCTACAGGAGATGGTCAGAGGCTGCGGCCTTGCTACAGGAGATGATCAGAGGCTGCGGCCTTGCTTCAGGAGATGATCAGAGACTGCGACCTTGCTACAGGAGATGATCAGAGGCTGCTCCCTTGCTACAGGCGATGGTCAGAGAAAAAAGACACACTACAAGAAATGGTCATGGAGTGAGACCATGCTACAGGAGATGGTCAGAGGCTGCGGCCTTGCTACAGGAGATGGTCAGAGAATAAAGAAACGCTACATGAAATGGTCAGAGAGTGTGAGCATGATACAGGCTATGGTCAGAGACAGAGACCATGATACAGGAGATGGTCAGAGACAGAGGCCATCCTACAGGAGATGGATTGAGAATGCAGGCATGCTACATGAGTAGTTGGAGATTCACGACATGTTAGAGATCAGTGCCCCTACTACGGTCCATTTACAAATCATTGCCTCCACATTTGTGCTCCCAACAACCTCCTTTAAATTTGACATTGCCACATTTATCATTGCTGCCAGCAAAGTCCTTTACAAAAGATCAGAGAAAAATACATAAAAAGAGGAATGTGAATGAGGGCTGCATGAAAGAACTCCGCAGGGCACAATGTCTCAGGTTGGGCACCAGGTGTGTTCATCCTTTGGCACTCCATATACTCCCACTAAGAACAAGTGCCTACTCTAAGAGAAGCACAGGGGATGCAGGATCTATATCAGGCTGGATACTGTTCACTGCAAGGTAGCATGACAGTCCATCTTCCTGTCTGTGCCTCAGAAGATTTCCCACCTCTAAAGATAGTAGGATGTAACCACATTATCATTCTGCTGACTCAGTGGATGCAGCTTGCCTGCTGAGTGGCTCTCTTTTAGACCCTGACATTTATCTTGTGCATCTGGCTGCTGCAATGGATAATTATGATTGCTGGTACCCTTTTCCTAATGTGAATCGGAACCTGCTGGAATTCAGGCCAGTGTGCTCCTTGGTTCCAACCTCCACCCATTCTCTAAAATCAGTGCAGCCTTACCTATATGTATGAAAGTGCATCTGTGCAGCAAGCACCTTCAGTCTCTTAAGAAGCATGTGTGAGACCTTTAATAAGTCTGTAACATTTTAATTAAAGAGCAACTCCTCTTTTGATGAGAAAAAAAATATCAATCCCCTCTGGGTGATCTACAGTATGTACAGGTGAAACTCGAATAATTAGAATATCGTGCAAAAGGTCATTTATTTCACTAATGCAACTTAAAAGGTGAAACTAATATATGAGATAGACTCATTACATATGAACAAAGTGGTAGGTGAATAGGATGTACAAACCCACAAAAGGGGAGGGGGGGATCTTCGTCAAGGCTCCTCAGCAGGGCCTGCACAAAAAACATCAACCGGTCAAACTGGGTAGTACATGGAAGGGGGTAAGAAAAAAACAGCACAAAAGAAGAAAAAAAAGATATATGGTTACAGGTGAAACTCGAATAATTAGAATATCGTGCA